CCCCCCCAATAAAAGTCTGCTTGAATACAAAAAAACCGACCTGACTTTTTAAAGTAAACTTTGAAAAACAAAAAACAAAACAAACAAACGAACAGAAAACAAAACATCTCAACACTATTCGTGTTTAAAGAGGTTTTTAGCCTGTCTGTTTTACATAAACGAGTCTGCGACGTCAGGTACAGATATCCGGTCCGATCCAGTGGAGTAACATTTAGGTCCGAGACAACAACTTACAATATAGGCTTATTATAAGCAGCTTCTTCTTTAAAAAACGGAAAAAAAGTGGTTCGGGAAACAAAAAGCATCATCATCGTCATCATCATTTCCGCAAGCTCTTTCCAGCACACCGTTGTAGTAGGTACGTCTATTGTAGTTGTGCAGCACAGCAGCCCCGAACAACAAACACTTTCTGCCCCGCTCCCCTTTATTGAACAAGCCGAAAGGCTTTTGATGCTTTCATGTTCTGTCGGAAATTTTTCAATTTAGACTAATTGCCCATGAAAATCCGAATAACAGGATAAGTGCATTCTGCATGGTGATGTATTTTTTATTTTAATTGTTCACTGGCCAGTCAGCACCTAAATGCAAGATTTTGAATCATGTGTTTCTGTTTAATAAAAGCATTTTGCACTTCAACATGATGCAAAGGCTTCGGAATAAGTTGAATCATTTATGCAATTCAAAAATTACACAAATATATGTATTGATCTTTAAAAACAGTATTTTATTTTTTGTATGAAAACAGAACATAAGAACTTAAATGCCGCATTATTGAAGACACCCCTTCTCATTTCACTCACTCTGTGCTGTGCACAAACACGTTCACCCTGCGGGCTCGGCGGTGGGACCGTTGGCAGCCTGTGGAGGGGCTGGGAAGTGGTGCCGGAGAGGCAGTTAGGGTGATGAGGAAACGAGTTGATGTGCCCTGGAAGTAATTCTTTCACCCTTCTCCCCTCCCCCTTCCCCAAAGGACACACAAGATGGGAGAGAGAGCAACGGGACCACCACCACCAACCACCGGTAGCCTTCAGCACGTGGGGACCCGGGGTGATCATCCACATTCCAGCTTGTGGGCTGGAACTCCTACTCGTTATCTGGCGCCATGTTTTCACTTTCTGATACCTTTAAAAAGCACCTTAATTATACCAGCACATTAATTTCAATAAAGTGGTTTTGTATTTTTGTATAACGCATTTAAGGGTAAAAATGTTTTTCAAGTTGAATCCACCCCCCCCCCCCCCAATTATAAATAACAATAGCGAAATGATGATGAAGTGGTGTTATGAGAAATCTTATGTTCTTGATGGTTCTTAAAAAGCAGACTCCCATTGTAGCTAAATATTGACGTAGTTATTCCAACAAAAAGGCTGAAATAAACAAATACTACATTTAATAAACAGAAAATTCATTTTTTTTTAAAAAATTATCAGTGGTTTCCTCATTATTGTTGAGCTTCTTAAAAAAAACAAGATAAATAAAAATAAGAAAAAGCAAAGCATCGAACAAGTGCATTCATAGCTTAACAACTAAGCCCTCCCCTCTCTACTCAAGTCTGGGCACAGCCTGCATTTTAGACATTGTAGAAGCTTCTGTTTTCAAGCATCTTTCTAATTGTTTTAAAGGTTTTCTTGTTTAAAATCAATGCGCAGAGTGAAGATAAGCTGCAGGTGTTATAACTGAAACTAGTACTGCTAACTGGGAGGACTGGCTGCAAGCTGCTGAAAAACCAGTAAAGCTGTCGCTGGTTAGAAAAAAAAAGTTTGTGAAAGTGGCCTGACGTCACACTCCCATAATGCTTACCGCCCCATAACTCCGCTGCAGCCTGAGGAGAGCCAGACACACTCTCAGGCCCCGAATATAGAAAAATTATTGGGAAAAATCGAAAAAAATATCCAAGCAACAGATCGGGAGGAGAAAAGAGCGTGGAGCGGTGGCGTGGGCTCTCCCACAGCGGGTTTTTGGTCCGGTCCGGGATGGGAGGCTACCGGGAGTCCTTGTGAAATTGACTAATGCGATGCTGGAAACTTTCTGGTGGGTAAACTGCTCGTTTTTTTCCTCTAAGCGCTCATATTGTGGCTTCACGTCCTCCCGTGTGCATGTGTGCCTTTGCTACAACTTTCCGAGCCTCGTATCAGCCCTCAGTTGTCTCTAAGTGACACTTGAATTGTTGTGAACGTGTTGTTACCGTCGCACGATCGGACTTTGCGCTATTTTTTCTTTAGTGGCACCGTGTAAGAAGCCTGGGTATTTAATTTATAATTACGCGATCGTCTCTTCTGCCTCGTCTTCTTCCTCAGTTTTTTTAAAACGTTTTCTTGTTTTTGCTCGATGATTATGTTGCAAACGCAATCTGTAAAGTTGTTCCACACGGCGCACTTTCTGCAGCGGCCCCTCGCTGTTGACGTTTGATGTAGTTTTGCAAGTTTTCGGCGATCTTGTGATTTTTAAGCAATTTTCGAACATTCATCAAGTGTGCAGTGCCGCTGCACGGGAGAGGGAGGTCGAGAGAACGTCCTGTTGCGTGTGTTTGTTGACCAGAGGGGAAAAAACAAATTTGCTGAAACGTGCACGGATGTTTATGCCCATCACAGATTCTTTAAATAAGTTTTGCGACCGATATTCAGTCGCCCTCCTTGAACCTTGAAGCCATTGTTGCTGTCTGAATCGAGCCGTCCACTAGGTTGTGGTTTATGTCACAGTTCGGATGTTTTGCTGGGAGAGTGTGCGCTTTTCCTTGAAAGAGGGGGGTAAATAACAACCAAGACCCTGCCAAAGAGCCGGGGTGGTTGGGGTCACAGTGTGGGGGTTCAGTTTGTGCACTTGTTTCTGATTTGGCTGCACGCTTTTTACGTATTTACTGTCATTCAGGAGGGAGGAAATGAGCACAAACAACGGTGGAAGTAACCCTAAAGTAGTCAGCTTTGCAGAGGACTGAACAGAAAGCTGTTTCTCCTATTGGGAGATTGTTGCATTCTGGTGTTTTTCATTTGCATTTCATATTGTTATTGCAGCAATATTACATTTCAAGATTAGCAAACTTTTTCCCTGTTCTGCATAAAGCATGAACTCTGGCTGAACTTTGGGATATTTAAGTTGTTTTCATGACATCACTTATAAACTATAAGCAGACATCCTGTGATTGTACAGGAAAGTGCACATCCACAGTGGGAGATTCCACTACACGCATACACGGTTTTCCATTACCAAGTTATCCATCGTCATTTGAGCACACTAAAAATGACAATATGGAAGAACATCGGCCAACATAAGTATCAGCTGTTGATATATCTGTGTATTGTTGTTGTTTTCCATCATTTGTAGCAGCGTGGAAATGTTCAAAGATACTGTGAGGAAAGGAAAGTACTTTAGGACAGTTAACAAGAACAGAAATGTGGACATTTGTGTCAGCATCTACTGTTGGCTAGATTGTTATTTTAAACATAGAAATCATTCCAGACTTTGATGATCAATGTAACCTAAAAGCAAAAAAACAACAACCAAAAGATCAACTTACTTCCACAAACATAAAGGCTCAAAAATGATTGATTGATTTTTCAGTTAATGTAGGATAAATACCACATGACGTGTCACATTAGTTTTTAGAAGCTATTAGCCATTTTGCGAGTTATTAAGAAAATACATACACTACATATTAGACATGCATAGGTTGTGAAACTCTAGACTGATGCTGATGTTTAAATTAGCAATTCGATTGATAGCTGATATTTTTTCAGTATTTTTATTTTGTTTCTGTTGTTATTTTTGCGACACAAAGTAATCTTATTTGAAAACAAAGCTAATCTCTGTTAGTCTTTCAGCTTTTTATTACACAATATTTGTGCATCTAGTGAGTACAAAAATGATGTGCAATTAAAGATAAATATCAGCGACTGATATCAATAAATCTTGCCTTGTTATCCTGCTGATTTGTGTAGAAAATGATGTGATGAGTCACTTAGTAAGATGTCAATTCATTTATTTTACTGGGATCAATAAAGTTTTCGAACTGAAGATGACTTCTGCCTAATGGTTCAAGGTCAAATTCATATTTTGCTTGCTACTAAATCCACAAACACAATTTCAGTGCGTGTAGCTATAAATCAAGTCAAACATTTTGTTATAGTTCATATGAATAATGTGATATAGCTGGACTACCAGTCAGAAAAGTCATACTCACGTTTCAGGTATAAAAGGTAGCTAAAAAGGCTAAATTCAGATCAGCATGTAATGAACTTTAGGCAGGTTTTTCCCTTCAACTTCACGCCTACATGTCTGAGCCAAGCATGTACCATCAAGGCCTCCAGCTACATAATAAGGAAATGGAAGTGAGGTTGTCACGAGACAATGCCTTTGCTGGTCGCTCTGCAAGTTGAGACCCATGTGTTGATGTTTGCTGCTCTCTCACTACAACCGTTCGGCTGACGATGGATCCGCCCCATGGAGCATTAGTCAGATTTCAATTCTCACACGTGGAGTGTTGAAGAAGATGACTGCTTTATTTTTTTACATGCAGTGACAGATGATATATGAAAACAAAGGTATTTGAATATAATAGTATTTTCCCCCACAAATTCACAGAAGGTCACGCTAATTCCCATCAGTATGTGTGTTTTCAGAATGATTATGTGTACTCTAAAGCACAAAAAACCCTCAAGAAACTCCAAGACTCCAGTACTCCTACTTTATATTTTTTCCTCAGACATAACCATCTAATGATTCATGTTATTCTGCTGCCTGAGCTTTCAGATCTGCTCTGTTCAGTTGAGCACAGTCTTTGCTTGAGTCCACTGAGCCAGCTTCTTCTCATTAACTTCCATGCATTGCCTTACATTACTTCCATGCCCTGTGGTCGAGAGGCAGCACGTTTCATGTTTGCCTTTATGATTGAGCGAACGTGGGTGCCTGTGAGAGCACACACACTTGCCTGTTTGGAAGATATGTGTGTGTGGAAGTGTGTGTCTGCGCTCCATTTTAGTGTGTGTGAGTGAGAGATTGCTGTTTTTTGAGTCCAAGGGAGGTCTTCTCTTCTGAAAATCCCCCTCACAATTCCTTGCACCTCTTCGGGCAGCAGCGGTGGTGGCGGCAGCGGTGGTGGCGGCAGCGACGGCGGTGGCAGCAGCAGCAACAGCAGGCTGATTACCATGAGAAAAGAGCATCAGTTGGGTTAATGGGAGGGACAGCCCTCTGAGGGGACAAATGGTAGTTAATAACCAGGGAAGAATCGGAAAAGCTCTGATCCCTTGCTTTGTACTTTTTCACCTTCTAGAGGCACGGATGGGATGGGGTTGGAGGGGGTGGGTGAGGGAGCAAGGGACACTGGGTTCATGGTAGAATGGATGCTGCTTGCTGACAGGCTGTAGAAAAACTGTACTATGTGTTACTTTCTCAGGAGTGGCACTGGGAACCTGAGAACTGCAACAGAATACAGGGCATTGCCAGAGCTGTTAAGTGTGTGCATGTGTAAACACTGGGCAGCGTCCGTACAAGAGTGTGTGGACGTAAGTACATTTGGTGTCATGGGATCAGTGTACAGGTTTTTACTGAAAACAAGTAATACTTTACACATTATTTGATACTTTTCCTAAAAGTAATGCAATTTGTTTCTTAAGGACCTGCCGGAGAATGTAATTTGTTACCCTATTTGATACATTACTTTTGTGTTACTCTGTAAAATGACCTTAAACACATTATCGTATAATTATCTATATAAACCATAGGCTATTATTATAATCCATATCTTTTAGTTTTAAAATTGAGATCAAAGAGGCTTCACAGTGATGCAACTGCAGAAACACGAACAGGTAGAAATGAAGGCTACAATGGTGCAAGCCTGACTGCTCGTCACTGTTTTTGTTACCTGTTGAAAATCAAGCTCTGGCTGCAGGACTAGAGTCAGCAAGCCCTCAGCTTTAAAATAATTCTGGGCTCTTGGCTAGCTTTCTGTTAGTATGCTGTCTGTGCAGATGTTTGCAAAGAGTCCACCTTGTGTTAGCACAGTGCGGTTGTATTTGTCTTGATACAGTTTGCATTTCACCATCGTGCTTTTGTCCTTTTATGGAATAAAAGTAAAATTAATGTCCATATTTCTACTGCCTAAAAGCTCCACACCACATTTTTCCTCTTTTCTTCATATAGACAGAAATCAGCTAATAGTAGGGCAAGTGCACAGGAAAAAAGAAAACATGTTAACTTGATGCTTTTTTCTTTCTGTCTGCCTTGTGTGCAAACAACTAAAGAATCTTTGTAAAACAATGTCACAACATAATTGTAACTAACATGTCACTGTGTTACTGAAAAAATGTAATGTGATTACAGAAACACATTACACTCAACACTGCATGGGACTAGCAGGGAAACAGATATTTCATTTAATTTATTTGCAGTATGTGAGGCTTCACACATTAGCTGCTCGGCTTTCAGGCTATTGTGTGAGAGAGGGCTGAGAGCTGTATGTTGGGTGTGAAAGCAGAAAGAAGTTATGAATTCTGAGAAAGACTGAACAAGGGAGCAAGAAATAGAAAAGCAAAAGGATAAATCTGTAGCTCAGAATGTGGGTCTGATATTGAGTGGTAATGTGGTCAAAGAAAAAAAAAATCAGCAGTAATTTGTTTTTCCTACCAAG